TCAGTAAGGTTACCCGCATGTTTCTGCGGTATATGGGGTCACAAATTTTCACGCGAAATAGTGTCTACACGAGGCCACATTCCTACGTCAGAAGATGCCACTTTCAAAAGCATGTTTACCTTTGGGCCACTAACTCGGTACTACACCGACTTACCTCTACTTTTCAATATCATAGTCGAAAAAAATTCCAAATCTGCTATCTCCCTAAATAGCCCGGTGAGTTGAACCATTTTTGTAATACCGTAAGTTACCATTCGTTTTTCTGAAAGGTCGATTTAAAAAACGTTAAGGTGTGCTTTTTGAAAGATTATAGTGTGTTTCGTTTCTGTCGAAAACCGGAACCGGAAATCTTATTCGCTATTAACAAAATTGTAAAACATCTAGAGTGTACTTGTATGTGTAAGCCTGAACTGGTAACCAATATACGAATGCTTTTATTTAATAACGATAAGTATTTTGTAGATTAAACTACCAAAGACAGGAGGGTACTCTTTTCTTTACATGGAAAAACTTGGAAGTATCAAAGGTGTTGAGGATATTCTGGAAAACTATTCGGGAAACTATTTTAAGGAGTTACTTTTACATTTGATTGGAAAATCACATATTACCTTTACACACACGTGTTTAGGAATACTGAATTGCGTGTACAGGTGTTTAGGTTCAACAGACAATAGTGACGAACACGTAAATACGATAAGGAACCAGCTACAAGATACATTGGGTTCCAATGGCGTCTTGTTACTTCCAACGCATCCAACTGCAGCAAACTTTCATGGCGGAGTTACTAGTAAACTTTATGACTATGGATACACTGCGATAATCAACATACTAGGTTTACCTGCGACACAGTGCCCAGTCGGCTTAAATTCGGCTGGTCTGCCCTTAGGGGTTCAAGTAAGTAGGCAATGAACTGGGAATTGAGGAATTGCATAATGTTTCAGGTAATTTCGGCCACATGTAATGATAGGTTAACACTGCGAGTAGCAGAGGAAATCGACAAATTATTTGGAGGATGGATACCGCCTCCTTTTTCTGAATAAATGGTTTTGTATGCAAGTAATCACCACGTCAATATGACTTTAACCATGTTGTACTAATGTATTATATTTTGTATCCATATCATTATAGCTGTTGCTTTGGTACTTCTTTTTAGACTCAAAAACTTGTAAACATATTGTATTTCGTATTAAAAACAAACTACTTGGTATTAGCACATACGTTGCCAAGATCCACAGCACTTCATTTCCAGTGGTGGCAGACCCAAGATGCGGATGTTGTAAAACTTGTCAGGAGAAGCGGTGCCATAGGTTTCCCTTCTTCCGCAGGAGATCTAAATTAACTTAAAACACAATCTTCGGACCTTTTTGCTTTGTGGGTTGCTTCTCTTCGACAGAAAATTTTATAGCGAACTAAACGAAAACTAGCCCGTGCAATATCGGGTAAATTTATGGAAATTGGTATAGTAAATATGTAAATAAGTAATGTGTGTAAACACTTAGCATACATAGGGGATCTTACTATAAGTAGGTAGATAAGTAATTGCTCTTACAAAGCAGATTCCAACCAAGGTAACTGTTCGCATGGTAGGTTAATTATAAAGAAAAAATTAACATAATATGAGAAATTTTTTGTCTGGTACGCTGTGCCCATGAAAGTCATTGTACTATGAAATACGTATTATTTTTTAAGGGAAAAGTGTTACTTTTCCTTATGACCCAATCAGGAAACTTGTGTAAACTCGTCTAATTTTTTACGTACATGCCATCATTAATTGTGTACTTATTTCTATTGTACCTACGCTATGTATCAACCAAATGGAATACATCAAATAGTAAGAAACAAGTATTGAAAACACATGCGCGTACTACAATGGCGCATTTTGCAATACGGAGGTTAGTATCTTATCCTTACCTCTTGTAGTAGCCCTTTTTGCTGCTTTCTCAACTAAATTGTCCAAATTGTAGAAATTATTAAATAGATAAATATTTTGCTTTGCCAATCAATAAAGATTTCGGTGTGGTACAAATGGAGTACGTCAGGAAGACTATACAAAATCTAATTTCCCTGAATCAAGTCAATGTGTTTTGCCGTTTCCACAACGAAATTGGTGAAAATTGGAAATTTTGACAAAATTTTGGCATCATTCCGAAGTGATTAGGTAAAAAACATTTCTTACTGCACTGAGGGACTTACATCTATCAAACTAGACAATTAATGAGTTGTTAATAATTTTTAAAATTGGATGGGATTTTATTATAAAGACGAGCTTTCCACTGTTCAGTGTCCAGATCTCGTCCCTCACACGGACGGATCGTAATAACGTATGCCAAAATCTATATAAAAAAACGTTTTTTGGTAAAGTAGTAAAAGTACTTATAAATTCTGTCGAAAAATGACTTTCTGGGGGGTATAGAATCCAAAAAAAGCAGCATTTTTGAGACCGACGAGTACATCAAAAGTCACAAGCTTTTGCTTTTTTGGACATCGGTTGGCTATGACTTTTAAAGAAAAAGTCTAATCCTTGTCGAAAAGCGGCGGCGTAAATGTGAGCATTAATTTGAGATTGGACACAATTTCGATCATGGTATTTGAATTTGAAGCCAATGTGATTTTGTTTAAAAATTATTTAATGTCGTTAATTTTGCTTAAGGTGACATACGTATGGTGAATATTCCAAATCGAACATAAGGAATTAACATGGGAAAAAGATTTTTTGTAGATAGTTGGTCCCCTTGTTAACTTAAAGAGTTTATAATAACACCGATCGAAAGAAGATTTTTTTCCTCATCTAATAATATACGAATTAGTTTATTTTCAGGTGTATTTCTCACAATTTTATCAAAAATTCGGCAATAAATCCACTTACCAAAATCATGACTAGTAAGACAAAAAGCAGATTCAAACGTTATTCAAAAGTCAATCAGTTTATGACAACTGGCATTAATTTTTTTGTAAAACGTCATCGTACGTTTACAGCGGAAATAGTTACTCTAGTACGCGATATTTTAATGAGGGTCCCATTCCGTCTGTGTCAAAACCTATTTCAATTCTTGAGGAAATTTCCATGGCTTAACATAATTTTTGCTAATTGGATTTATTGCCGAATTTTTTATAAAATAATGGGAAATAGACTTGAAAATGAACTACTTCGCATATCATTAGATGGAAAAAAATCTTCTTTCGATTGGTGTCATTATGAACCCTCTAACTTAACATGTGGAACAACGATCTGCAAAAAAAGTTTTTCCCATGCTAATTACCTCTGTTCGGTTTTAAAATATCCACCCGGTATGCGGTATGTCCCAATTTCCAAAGCGATTAGACGGTTCTAAACAAAGTTATTGTGCACACGGGCAGATAGACAGCTAAATTACAAACGATCCTGAGGATCGTTAATAGTACATATAATGAAGGGTGCCCCAAGACGAATGCTGGCTATCTATAGATATCGAAAAGGATCCCCGTAATATTTGGAAAATTTACACTATGCTAATATTTAGTGTTTACCATGGACGAGTGAGATCCGCTGACACGTCGGATTTTCCGTCCAGTCGGTCAGTCCCAAAACATTCCCAACCATTTATTCCCTTATTTTCGAATGATTATATAGTGTAGGTAAAAAACCTGGAGAGGTAGATTTTTCTTTAAAAAAAAAAGCCATATTGAACGATTCTTATGATTGCATATTGTTCGAAAAATTTATCATTTTTCTCGCAGCTACTTTTTCTAACAAACAAACAAATAATAAATAAAATAAATTATAAATGTGTATTCCTCTACAAGCTTCTCATTTCCTTTTTTATGAAGTCTTGAAAATGCTCGGGAAAGGTCCATCTGCTAAAGACTTGCTGATTTGTTGGTTACGAATTGTTAATATGTGGTACAACACACTTACGCACGAGTTAAAATTATCTATTGCGGTTGATTTCATATTTTTAAGTTCCATTATGTAACGGCTTAGTTATATTTAGAGGGGTTGGAAACCCCTCCTGTAGAAAATGAGTTTTATTAATGATCCTCGAGATCGTTTATAATTTTGTAATGCTGTCTGTCTGTCTGTCTGTCCGTCTGTCTGTCCGTCTATCCGATCGCTTTGAAAATTGATACATATGTTCTTTAGGATGTAAGAAAGGTCGCTATTGTTTTTCGGCTACGTAGACTAACGGACCAAAAAGTTAAAGCCCAAAAACTGCCCAAACCTCCAAAAAAATGTTTCTTTTATAATTCTTCTTACAAAGAACATATTAATGTCCGGTTTTCTGTGTTAGTAAATATTCCCTAAATCTCAGGTAACTATTCAAAAGAATTTTTTAAAAATTGCGCATGCGCAACCCAGCCTTTGTATTTGCGGAATTCCAATTTTTTATCTAGTTAAGATATTTAAATGAAATTTTGGAGGCACCTCACATAAAAGTAAAACTGATGGTAAAAAATTATTTTGCGCATGCGCAATCCGATTTGTAGATATCTTCGTTAGTTATGAACCGAATTGCTTGAAATTTTGTATGTAAGCACCTCGAATAAAAATAAAATTGTTTTGCGCATGCGCAATTTCAATTTCTTTATTTGTTCAGATATTTAAATGAAATTTCGTATATACGGACCTCGAATAAACTAATGCCGATTCAAAAATTTGATTTACAAGCTATGCTGATCTGGTGGGAAAGAATCAATCTCTTAAGGTGTGTTGTAAAAATGATGTATGTGCGAAGATCTCGAGGATCGTTCGGTATTCAATTGTATCGAATTTTTAGCGCATTTTTAAAGAATTAATTTTATCTCTCTTTATATTCTAATTAAAGATCTCAACGAAAGGAATTCATTTCTACCAACCATAGCCCTCTTCCTCCACCTCTTATCGTGATCGCGTATATTCCCTTATACCTCAACATTGGATTGTCGGAAGAGGGTACTCACAAAGGGCTATTGAGACGACTGCAAGAAATATATCCATTGATGACATCAAAACAAAAGCTATTTCGGGTTAAAAAAATGCTTTTTATCTGCACAAAAGTTGTGCGCAATTTATACTTGTTTATTTTGGATTAGAGGAACGGTGGAAATTTGCGCTATTATTTATGCTATTGCTTTTTCGTTTGACATTTCTGTATGGTATATTAATAATACCCTGATTTTGGCAACGCAACCTAACGTACTACTTATCTACTAGGCCAGACGTGTCTTTTTCTCGACTTAAATTATCCGATTGGGGGTGGTGTCACCTGTTGAAGAATTAAATTTGTATTAAACTTTTCTTCGACTAGTATATACCTACGGAGTCAAATGGCGAAATTATCGACTTCGGATGCGTTATCTATGCACTACAGAAGTTAAAAATTACTTTAGGTCCCAAGTGAATTTTTCTACAATTTACCAAACTTTATAAATTAGGTATTACAATTATTTGCTGGCTAGATTCTAACAAGTCGTATAGGTAATGGCAGTATAAGGAGCTGTATACTAATTAAAATACAATCAACAGTGGTCAAAGGTGAACGTAATGCTTATCATAATTATATGGTACCAAACCTTTCAAAATGAATTCCTACAACAACTCTAGCTCGTCGCAAAAAATAATATTAGTCTCAAGTAAACCCATGCAGAGATTTTATGACTTCTGTGATTCAATTAACTAAATAATGACGTACATCAGACAGCCGAAGTAATGAAAATTAAACGAATGTTCTACTTAAAAGGTTGTCCTTCACTTTGTAAACTGTTTTGAATTATACCAAGTTGCCGGTTTTTTAAAGTTGTTTTTCTATAATTGGGAAACCTCAATCCAATTGACATAATTGTAATGATGTTGCGAATTGTTTTAATTACTTCGTATTTTCCTAATGGACAGGCCTTCAATTTTGGTACAGTTTGACGTAGGTAAATCAGTATATGACACCTCATTCGAATGTATGTATGGTTACGCCTTTGTTTTTAGTTAGTACCTACTGCAGTTACTGGATTAACTTCGTCGATTAAACCTTCATTGTGCAAAATTTGTACGAACATGGGATCCTTACTCAAAGGTAAGTTGTATCGTATAGGGATTATATAGTTCAATGCTAAGTTAGTAAATTTAGGAACCCTCCTCATGTAACTTACGAGCAGTAGGTACTATACCATCCTGTGCGGTGCCGACACGTACAATAACAATACCAAAATTAATATTTATTTAAGAAACTAAACAAGTATCAATATATAGGTAAGTACTCACGACTGTTATTTAGTTATTCTAAACTTTATTATCATAAGTAAGTACATACAGTATATGCAAAAACGTAGATAATGGTAGATAACGCACATTGAAAGGCTATTGTTGTTAAATTCGCTATTTTTAAACTGATCGGAGGTGCACTCTACTTAAACTATTAGAGATAGTGGACTGATTCTAATTAAATGTGGGCAGTTAGATAACGTTTTAATTTTTTATTGTATGCTTATAGTTGTGTCCGCTCTCATATTCTTTTCGTATACGCTGGCTTGGTTGAGTACCGACCACCATAACATTTTTCTTACTGTGGACGCTCGTTAGAAAAATGTATTACTTCTATTTCTATATGATGACATTCTAATACGTATTACCTTCGTAGTCTATTGCAGAGAAATACGAGGTATATTCAAGTATAAATCTAGAATGTTATAATAGATATGCATTGACCCACCTTGTCCTAGACTCGTACCTACTTCCCAGAGGATAGGGACCCTAATTCATATGTTGTCTTGTAGGATTTCAAGTTAAAATGTTTGCGGTCGTTTGCCAATTTTTTTTAAAATAGAGTAGCACAGAAACAAAGCAAATGGAAGACACCATTAGAAATAATTAGGTTACCTAGTTCCTTAATTAACAAATTGCATTTTATGCCAACAATTGACATGGGGTTTCATTTAATTACGGATTGAAGCTTTTGTCATTTTTAAAATGCTATAATCAAAGGTATTAATTACCCAGATCGTAGCTTATCATTTAAACAATCATCAATTTGCTATTAAGAGTTGAGCAAGGGTTGCATCGAAGGATAGACTCCAAAAATGATTGATTTCTACCAAAAAATTGAAACTCAAGTATTTGTTCTTGAATAATAATTACTCAACGAGAAGTTTAATGTTGGTACCAGCTGCTTTTCGTGCTTTAATCTAAGCCACCTACACACCACGTGCTCGCATAAAGCAGGAACCAGCCCCCTATAACCATAAGCAGTTAGATGCACAATATAACCGAATTCACTTTGATACATCCCGATCGGGAAACCTGACATGAAGAGGCATGTTACATCACCTACCTGACTTACGGACTAGTTCCTTTTTTAGGGATAAGTGTCCGCATAAATGGCGTTTGGGACATTTGTATACGGTACTGATAGTTTGCTAAAAACCCCTAAGGAAGCTGCTATTTTGGATATAGGTACTTTTAACGGAGCAAAACCGCAGTAATTTTCGCCATAACTCCAGCCAGTATAAATTTCTCTAAATTACTCTAATTTACCCGCAGACAACATATTTACGTTTAAGGCGCTTTAAAAGGATAAATTTGGTATTGGTAGGATGTTGGTATACATGTTGTAGACCAATTTATGGGATTTATTTTAAAATAGGATTTTTATTCATTTTTACCCATCGAGTTCATGTTTTACGTCGATAAGATATATATTAATAAACTGTAGTTTATTAAAAAGCTTCCTTATCTGTGCCCGCACTCGAGAGAGTGCCACCACTGTACTTTATTTGAGGTTCTCCTTTCTTTAGTGTCACAGCTAGCCTCATAGGCACCTTTGATGGTCATGCAAAGGTTTGATCCCATGACTTCCAGTTCCGCCGAGTTATTGATTGCCGCGAGACGGTTTTCGAGATCGACCTTTAGGTTCTTTCTGCAGAGTTCCCAGTTGATTCGTCGGATATCTATTTACGGCTGCACCCGCTTCGTTTGATGTTGATCCAATGTCAATCAAAACAAATATATCTATGGCCAGATAGCGATGCATCGTCAAACACCCAACAGCCTGATTCATTCATCGAACAGTTGCAATTTAATATTTGAAATAGCAATAACTCCCTCATTGTCTACTACTGAACGTACGTTTTGAATATTTGAATATTTACAAGACCGCCTTCACACGTCAAAAGAATCTAGCCGATGCGAACCATGTCGATATTGTTATATTAGAGAGAATGCTTAATTTCAGCTAGAGAGGGCTCTACGTCTTCCTACAAACTTAGGCCCCCTCATGAGAAACAAGATTTCAATGAAAATTTGTGGTGCCTTCAAAGATTGAAGAAAATAATGTACGCTTGAAATCAGGAGTCCGTGGCCTTGCGTCATCGATTTCTGTATCAATATTAGACATATGAAGACATACGCTAAAACGCTGTAACAACTATCAAGTGTGCGAAATCGATAAAAAAAACTTGTCTGACCATGGGTGCGTTCACCAGAACCAACTGTTTGCAAACCGTTTGCGCTTTTTATATAAGCATATTTACTGAACGCATTGCTAATTGTCAAACTGTTTGTAAGCGGTCGCCATTTTTTTAATCATAATTCAAACTAGCTGAAAATTACAAACATGTTGATCGGGCATGCGCATTTGTCATAAGCGCGCAATTTGCCTGGAAACCACACGTCAAATTTAATTTGAGTGAATTTTGAGAAAACCGTTTTGTATTCTTTTTGTACATTTCAATAAAAATATGGCAACCTTTCTACAGTTTAAATACATCCTGCTATACGAAATGAATTGAATTGTCCTATAGAAAATCAAGATGGAAGTATTAAATGCGTATTCACTGGATCCTTGAGTAAATGGTTATAGGTTATAGTGTTGCCAGGCAGAGTTTGATGGCCAGCAACCTACTAGGAGACGAGCAAATCGTTCGTGCCGTTTTGGAGCCTTCATAAAGCGCATATGAAGGGGTCAGTACAAGTCCAAATGAAATCGACAACACTCAGCCAGTATCAGTTATAGGTTATAGAGATACTTGGGTTAAATCATTAGTATACGAATAATGTACCCTAATTAGATTCGAAGAGAAGTTTGGTGTGGAACGATTTCACTACAAAGTTATTACTCGCCGAGTATTTCAAATTTGACATTCGAGATCCAAAAAGGAAAAAAAAATATTTGGTCAGAAATATAAGACGTGTTTCAAGAAATGATGTGTTACATGAAGACTTGGATCAGAAATTTCGGGATAATTATGAAACCCTTGTCCACAATAAAAAGAAAACTGGTCGTGGGAGGCTGAAGTAATACTGTTAAAAAATCTTTTTTGTCTGGCAACTTTGTCGTGGGCAGTATTCGTTCGCAGTTTCTTGCGTTTTTACGGATTAACAGCACCATTTATTGATAGGAAAAAGCTCTATCAAATGACACAAAAAGTAAAAATGACGTCCATAAGAAAAGACAAAGCTGATGATGGTTAACCGGAAACGAAACGTCAGACTAAAAATTTAAAACTAGCATCTTGTATATGGAAAAAAGTGGTCACAATTATGTGCCGTTTACTTAGGTAACAAATAAAAACGATTTTGTAAAATGTCATTTTTTTTCTGGATATCTCCGAAAGTAGTCGGAATTTTTTCAGTTTCAAAACGACATTTTGTTAAGTATCAAACTACTCAACTTTGCAACATGGAATGCTCCCTTCTTCATTCATAATTAAATTATTCGATTTATCTCTTACAACTTTAAAGCGCATTGTGCAATGTGCAATTAGACAATTTTTGGTCGTGATGTATAGGTACTAGTAATTTACTCCAATTTCACGCATAAACCTATACCTATGCCGATGGTTTAAACAAATATGCATGTCTTACAAACATGTTTGTGATTTTCAGCGAGTTTAAATTGCGATTCAAAAAATGGCGTCCGCTTGCAAACAGTTTAACAACCAGCAACGCGTTCAGTAAACGTACTTATGTAAAAAGCGCAAACGGTTTGCAAACAGTTGGTTCTGGCAAACGCAACCCTATCGTTCACCAGCGCCTAAACAGTTTGTGTTTGCAAACGTAATCAAAGCGCAAACACGTTTGGTTCTGGTGAACGCACCCATTGATTGGAAAATTGCATTTATTTTCAATAATACCATTCCTTTGGTTAGATTAAAGATTTAGGATAGGAGAATGTACCAGTAATTGTTTATATGATAAAGATGAATTTTAGATAAGGACCAAACTTAGCATGCTCAGGAGATGAGATTAGATAGTTAGTTAAATTTCCATCAAGTGAGAGGTATAAAACACATTTTTATTACTTAACTAGCCGTGAATAAATTAAAAATGAGCCCTATATCGCCCAAATCGATTCAGCGGTGTCGAAGAAGTACGTGTGACGGACGGATGGACGGGAAAGTGCAGCCAATAGCGATTTTTGACTTTGAGGAAAATACGCTAAAAAAGCACCCAAAATCCTAGTAAAATCTGTTATTCCAATTCTCTTAGATTTAATGGTTTTTAGGAAAAAAATTAACAAAATAACACAAATTTTTGGACTGTTGGGGTTCCAACTGATCCGTTTTGCGCTTGCAATTTATTTGGAGAAAATATTTGTTTTGGTCTTTACCACTTACCTCCTTTTTGACATGTTAGTGTTACAGCCTGTATACGTGAAAGACAGCGCTGCATCAGCACACCTATGGATTAAAAACTGAGCAGCAGCGTCCATTCGTTTATGAATTGCACTTTTGGGCGCCAAAAGTAGACTAGCCTTCGAAGACGCGCCTGACAAAAGGTGGTTAATTTCACCCCTAAGGAAAAAAACAGAATTCCGTCACGCAGGAGTTGCGCGCGTTTACAAGACCTTTTTGACGACATCAATTTGAAAATAATCACTTATAATTGCACAAGAGGTTTGTATTTTACCGAGTAAATTTGGGTTGTTTAGGTAATGAAAATCTGTTACCTAGTAATTAGACGAGAAAAACTGTCAACTAATAAAAATGCGCCACCGCAGGTGGAGCATTTTTAGGTTGACAGTTTTTCGAGTCCAATTGCTAAAAGGAAACAGATTTGAATTGCCACAACCCAAATTTACTCGGTTTAAATACAAACCTCGAGTGTAATTCGGCAGGACAATTTAACGAACAAGAAATTCACCAAATTAATCAATTATTGACAGACGTCAAACTAGTCATATGGGAAAGGATAATGCGATTATTGGTTCGAAAATGAATAAGTGAAAAAACCACTAGTGCATTTGTCGCTGGAAAAGTTGCAGGTAACTTTTGCCGCTGTCAAAGTGACAATTGCACTGCGGCTTATGCGATTTTTTATACATGAGTTGAATTGTCGGACTAAAATTGTAGCAGGAAATGGAAAAAACTGAAAAATCGCTGTTTGATTAGATTAATAAGTAATATTGGGGAGATATGGGATTTAATTTTAGATTGTAATTGCCTTTAGATTTTGTGACCAGTGTTTACGAACCCAGTAAATGTATAACCTTGTGTAATTGTGGCAAGCCGAGTGTGTGTTCTAAACATTGTTTGGGAAAATAAATGCAATGTAATTTTGTTTGTAAATCTAGTTTTTTGGCCTTTTGAATTCATTCTCATTGAGGAATAGTGGAATTGCTAGGCCACACAGCAACAGGTATGAATTAAAACCGTTATGGTTAAAATATAATATATAAATGTGTGATAAAATAGTCGTGGTTGATGAAAAAAAAAAACTTTGCCCCTTGTGCATGTAGCGGTTTTATACGATTTTGTAACAAATGGCTTTGCGCAGTTTGATAAACAATAAAAAATGACGTAGGGGAAAGAGGTAAAACCTAAGAGGGTAATTACGGGTCACCCCAAGTGTTGAAATCTATGACTAACAATGAAATGGATTATTTGTGACAATGCGTCGAATTTATTTGGACCTAACGAGCGATTAACGAGCTTGCTAACTTTTGATAATAATAACGGCGATTGTCTGAATCGAGGGGAAATATCCAATTATAGGATATCGCAAACGGCGACAATAACAATATTTTTTTTCGTCCGAACCGCCGCCGCGCCTCGCCATATGGTCAATTTGTTCGCATTTTGCAAACTCCAGATTCCGATATACACCAACTTAAACTTTGTTAAACATAAAACGTAACGCTAATCTGGCCACTTATAACTTATAAAAGCATGTTCGTACTCGTAATATACTTTTAACGTAAATTTACTTTGGGAAGCTTTTCCGCCAGATCAAATTCGTTTTAATCACACACTTTCCCCACTAACATTTCGTGCGCTCTTACGTTCTTTTATCGCATTAAGAACAAATAATCTCTACACTTTTTCTGATGTCTGTTACTGAAATGGGATTAAAACTGACATGCTTTTACTTAATTCGATTCTACATCGCGATTTTTAGTTTGCCAAAGCTCTCACCGTAAAACCCTCGGCGAAGCGTAGAATGCGAAAAAGAAAAAAAAAGCGCCCGTGTCCACACAAAACGCAATTTAAATATTAGATTGCTTCGATACACTCCTCCATATAATATCGTATATTATGTAAATATGAATGTGGTCAAACAATACACGTACATTAAATAACTGGCGGCGATAATGTAGCCACACAATAACATATTGAAGTATCTACTTTGTTTGTCGTAATACTCAAAGGGGTATATAGAAAGCATGTGTACGCCACAACCCCAACGGCACTAGAGGCACACAAGTAATTACGGGGCGTGATACATTTATAAGCCGAAATTACCTAACTACAACTCAATCCGTTTGATGGCCCTAAACCGTTTTAATGCAGACATCTATGATTTGTTACTTTCTAGTACATTATTGATGCCAATTTGGTTAGTGAAACGGGCGCATGCACTAAATTGAATATAGAAAGAGAAACCAAAGTCACTTTCTAACTATCAAATTTGAATTTATCCAGTTTAGGGTATTTCTCGTATGGTTCTCAAACTGCATTTCAGATTCTTCAAAGGATTCTTCTTGTGATTTTGGTTTTTCACGATTTTCAAGAGAGTACTTTTGAAACGAAAGGAAAATGTGAATTGTGTAAGGATTGTAACCATACATATTTAACAAACCATCATGTAAGTAATATTTATTCATTGAAACAAAAGAAGGCAAAAAACAACGAAAGAAGAGCTCTAATTTATTTCATGCTTATCGAGTTTTCCAAAATCAAACAGACATGTTGGTAATTCAAATGTCGTAAAGTACAAGGGCCGTTTGATAAGTCTCCTATTTCTTAATGTTCAAATGATCGAAGAGTTATTTAATGGTGACAGGTTAAACTACATTTCTGTGAGTGTGAGGAAAAGTATCAAGCATGTGCATTGCCAATCGTTTGAATGAGATCTAGTTAGAAATGGAGAAAATTACATTAGAAACTGACACGTATAGCCCATTAACTATACCTAATCTCCAACCTGACTGGCTCTCGCTTTCTGACGCAATTACTTGATCGGCGCCGCATCTGGCAACCATCGAGTTAAAAAAAACTATAAAGCAATAATTTATTGAGAAACTTAAAAGAACAATCAAACAACAAGATTTTGAAGAAACCAGCCCTTTAATAAAACCACTT